CAGTCTTTTTGGTGCAAGTTTGGCTGTGGGAAATACTTTGGAACTTCTTCTTAGTCCAGCCACTGAGCTGGTTTTCGTATAAAATCTACTTTTCGTCGCGCATTACAATCCAATTGAGAAATGATTCATTGTTATTGTGTAGAATAAGAGAAGATGACACTTCAAAACGATGATTATTTTTATTTTCAGTGAGCTCACTAGGCACCCACTTACCAAGCTTTTTCGCCTTTCCAGTTTGCTTCAAATGTCTAATGACTGGAGAATGGTTGACGTTGAGTTCTTCAACAACTTCTTGTGTAGTTGTAAGAGGATCAGCTTCTATGATTCTCTCAATTGGTCACTGTCAACTTCTGATGGCTGGCCACTGCACTCCTGATCTTCAAGGCTCTCATCTTTGCATAACTTCTTGAACCACCACTGCACTGTACATTCTTTAGCAGTTCCTGAGCCAAATGCTTTGTTGATGTTGTAAGTTGTCCCCACTGCCTTATGACCAATTTTGAGCACAAATAAGAAAATTGGTTGAATTTACTTTTTGTCTAACATCATTTCCTTAGTTTTAAAATAAATATAAAATGAACAGTAAGTAATAACTCTTTAGCAAAAAACATAGTGATAAATGTGCATTAAAATGATGTATAATATAATCACATTTAAGAATGTATTGCAGTATCAAATGGTAAAGTTCAACTGTGCAAAACTGCAATTACTTTTGCACCAACCTAATACCTGATTTGGATAATGGGGCAGAGAGTTGCTGGCAGTTTTCAGTAGGATGGTCCGGAAAGGTGTTACTTGGAAATATGATATTTAAGCAAAGGCCTGAAAAAGATCAAGGAATGAGTCATGTGGATCTAGGAGGAGACAATTTCGGATAGAACAGCAATTGTAAAATCCCTGAGCTTTATAATCATGAATGTGCCTAGCAGGTTCAAGGAGCAGCAAAGAGGCCAGTGCAGCCAGGGAAGCATGGCCAAAGGGACAAGGAGAGCAGAGAGGTCATGGAGGGTAGATTGTGGAGCACCTTGCGTGAGTCTCTGAAAGAGATGGAAAGCTGCTGTTGGGTTTTGAGCTAGAAATGACATGACCTGACTTAGGTTTTAAAAGGATCACTCTGGAAGATGGTACTTTAGGACATTAGTCCGCCATCTTCTTGGATCCCTGGCTTGCTGAAAAAGTCTCTATTCCTTGCCATAAAAAGGACCACTCTGGCTACTGTAATGAGAATAAAATGTGTTGGAAAGGGAGAGCAAGAATAGAAACTGGAAAGCCAGTTAGGAGGTTATTATAATAATCCAGCTATAGATGATGCTAACTCAGACCAGACTTGTGAGAAGTGGTTAGACTCTGCATATTTTGAAGGACTTGTTCTTGGATGTGGGTATGCAAAAAGTAGAGGATTCAAGAATGATTCCAAAAAGAAAAAGAATGATCCCACAGTTTGACCTAACAAAATGGAAGTATAGAATTATATTCTGAGGTAGGAGGTGGGAAAATTGTGGGAGTCAGAAACCTCCAGCAGTCTGGTCCATGGTAGATGTCTTGTGCATGCAGCCTTGCAGCCCCCGTTTTGGCTCTAAAGAGTGGGCCTTGGACCTGGAACACTTAACTTAGCAAGAGATAGAGTCCTCACAGCCTGTGCTTCTGTGTTCTGCTGAAGCATCATATGGCACCTGGCCAGCTGCATTGCTGTATCTGTCCCCTGGGGGGAGAAGGAGGAGTCGTTTTGCTACAGCCCTGAGGGGTGAGTACCGGCCAGCTGCCCTCCATGGCCGCCTAGAGGGATTTGCTGGCCATGGGGGAACCAGCCTCCAGTACTAAGCTTGATCAAGTACTGTTTCCTCCACTGCTTGACTGTTGTTTTCCATGGTGACTCCAGTACCACGATACAGTGAGCAGAAGTGTTTGGACTTCTACTTCTGGTGACAGGCAACAGATGCCACTTGCTTGACAGTTTGTGAATATTGAATGAATGGGAAGATTTGGATGTCAAGTTAGGGGCTGCTAATTTTGAGGTGATGGACTGTTAAGTAGAGATGTTGAGTGGCCAATTAGGTGTAAAAGTTTGGGGATTTCCCTGGTGATCCAGTGGTTAAGACTCTGTAATTCCTATGCTTGAGGAGCTAAGATCCTACATGCCACGTGGCGCAGCCAAATAAAAAAGATGTAAAATTTGAAGGTCAGGGGAGAAAATATGATAAAATTATTTGGAAAGAATTGCCATCTCCATAAATGAGCATTTCTGTCTAACAAGAAACGTATATAAAAATATTCTAAACAGCATTATTTGCAGTAGATTTACACTAGAAAACAATATTCATCAACAGAAGACATAGAAGAATTCTCTATGATTCCATTCATATAAATAAAACTAAACCATGGTGTTAGAAGTCAGGATAAATATTATCTTAGGGGAAGGAGGGAGCAGGTAGTGATTGGGAGATGCACTAGAGTAATTTCTAGATGTTTGTGTTAGTTGCTCAGTCATGTCTGACTCTTTGCAATCCCATGGAGTGTAGCCTGCAAAGCTCCTCCTTCCATGGGATTTTCCAGGCAAGAATATTGAAGTGGGTTGCCATTTCCTGCTCCAGGGGATCTTCGCCACCCAGGGATTGAACCCGAATCTCCTGCATTGCAGGCAGACTCTTCATTGTCTGAGCCACCATCTCAGTAGTGATTGTGTGTTTGCTTTATCGTCCCTCAGTGAACTGTTCATTTAAGTGTTGAGCACCTTTTGGGACATATGTTATAGTTATTTAAAAAAAAAATGTCTAACTGTCATGTTAGAATATTGCCTCCCAAAGAATTTGTTTCAGGCTCCAGTTTCAATAGCTGTGCTTGATTGCTAGCTATCCTTGCCCGTTTAAGTGTTCATGAAAATTACAAGGTAGTCTGTTTAAAACTATGATGGAAAAGCATTGTACAAATAATTGAACTCCTAATATTGGGAAAGAGGCTGAATAACAACCACTGAGGGAAATAGTGCAGGGCTTAGCATACCTCCTTTGACATCCAGAATGTTACTCGATTTTTAAATTTGGAATTTAAAGTGAATTAGAGAAAAGTCTAATTTTCCCCCTCAGTCTCTCCCATCAAGAAGTTTCCATAAGACTCTTACCCTTACCCATCAGAGAGCAGACAGAATGAAAATCACAATCATAGAAAACTAACCAAACTGATCACATGGATCACAGCCTTGTCTAATTCAATGAAACTATGAGGCATACCTGGTAGGGCCACCCAAGATGGACGGGTCATGGTGGAGAGTTCTGACAAAATGTGGTCCCCTGGAGAAGGGAATGGCAAACCACTTCAGTATTCTCCTTGAGAACCCCATGAACAGCATGAAAAGGCAAAAAGCTAGGACACTGAAAGATGAATTCCCCAGGTTGCTAGGTGCCCAGTATACTACTGGAGATCGGTGGAGAAATAACTCCAGAAAGAATGAAGAGATGGAGCCAAAGCAAAAACTACACCCAGTTGTGGGTGTGACTGGTGATGGAAATAAAGTCTGATGCTGTAAAGAGCAATATTGCATAGGAACCTGGAATGTTAGGTCCATGAATCAAGGCAA